GGAAGCCAGTCCAGGCCCATCATGGAGCACGAGCACAGCTGCCCTCTGAGAGCCGCCTTGCTCCTTGGAGTTCTAAATCAAGAGATATGCAAAGCTAAGCGCAAGGTCCGAGAAGCTGCGTAACGCTTGAGCATGATGGTGTGATCTCCGCTTCGGACAGGCCTGGGAAGGAATTTAGCGATGCAAAGACTGCATGTTTTTCGTCGCAACTGCTAGCAATCTTTCGGACCCGGAGGATGCCATCTCGAAGCTCACGCATGCTCGCAGATGCAAAACTCAGCATAACTTTCACTGAGCCACACCTCCAGCAGGTCATGGGAGTTGCCTGTACGGAAAGGCCATCAGAAGCCACTGGCTGAAAGGTATGAATCCCTTGCAGTGTCGACGGCCAGCGCTGCCTGCTTCCCAGAGATGTCTCTCCAGTGGCCCCTGCATCCGCTATGCGGCTGGGCGGCTTCAGGGAAAGCATGTGAGGCTCCGCTATAGCCAACCAGAACGTCACCCACTTTGATTCTGAACTCGGACGCGCCCCTGCCCGAGGACATTTAAGGGAGCATTCCTGAACTTGACTACAACGCGTCCGGGGAAGAAACGCATGCGCAGCATCGTCTGTCCAGACTGGCTGCTTTTCAGAGCACAGGACATTTTTACCCAGGCTGAAAGCCAACTGTTTGATGCCTGTACTTAGTCAGTATCGAACAACGAGTCTGCGAGTATCATGATACTCGCATCGCCGGAAGTATCCCGATTCCTGACTGGAGGGTTGCTGTTTGAGTTGAAATTCCGGACCAGATCCTGGGTGGAGAGAGCAGTAACAACAGCCTTCTGCAAAGCGTCTGTGCTCCACCCCGAATTCAGAATTTGCTTTTCCGACCATGCCTTGCTTGTGCTAGCTACCTGGAGCCATGCTGTCCAAAATGCTACCATGCTGCTCCCAGACCTCGGCTTCAGAATCAGGCCTGCGATGAAGGTTGAGCGAGGAGAGAAAGTCGGCCAGATCGACAGTGTCTCCCCTTCTTGAGGCCTTGGAATGATTGTTTGAAGCCATCTCAATAAGAGATGCCACTTAGGGAGCCAGCTGAAGATGAGATTGCTCTGCACAAAAAAGAAAGCAGGCGGAACAGCCGGAGGGCCTTGAAGAAAATGCAACAAAGCCTGCAGACCTGTACAGGACGGTAGGAAAGCAACCTTGGCTCCGGGCTGAGTAAGACCAGGAATGCGCTTGCTACAGAGGGTGCCCACGGCTCACGCAGCTTCGGCACCTCAGCGCAATGGATGCACCAATGGACGGACCTTTTGCTCAGCCCTGCTTTTAGTGGGCAGCTTGACACGACAAATCTGGACATTTAGATCCCAAGAGCATGAACAGCAGCATGGGCGAGTTCCACTATCAAAAGCAAGTGTCACCAGCATGGGATTTTGCAGCTAGTGGCTTTGCACTTTGGAGATCTCACGGCCAGACGTCCAAATCTCGTCAAGCTTTGTTGGTGGCCAGCCGGGGTTGAGGCTGCTTCCATCATGGCCGAATGCCCAGGATTCCAAAGCAGCATAGTTCTGAAACTGCACCTATGCAATTTGATTGGATGAAAGGCTGTCAAGCTCCATGTCCATGTAGGACGTTACTGCCTGCAACATGAGCCCAAGGCTGCAACATCGCAAGCGTGCAAAAGCATTTGAGCAGTCCACCCTGCATTCCTCCGGAGGTACGGTCAGTTTCTTCAATATGTTTCCCCCATCAGTAGGCGCAGCCTGCCTCAAGTAATGAAATGCTGTGGCTCAGCAGGCCCTCTGGCAGCTAAGTGTAGAGCACAAAAACCAAATTGTCTAGTCGTGCCTAAATCTTGCCTGTCGCCTTGCATCGATCTGCCTTGTTCAGGTCTTTTTTCCACGCGGCAGCGAGCTTACGCGCATGGACAGCCCAAGAATCCAAGGCCACTCACGCTGCACTTCGGCAGTTGGCCATCTGGGACTTGTCGATGCGCCCTGCCTGAAGCTCAGCAAGCTGCCATGCAGGTGGGACTCCTTTCATCTACCTCCACTACGACACCTTGGCTGCCCGAAATTTAGAGGTATTTTTTGTGTGGTTAGGCGAAGCCCGCACGGACTCCCAAGTTTCCATCCACAACAAAAGATCGCAACAGGCTGGGTAGGACAGCGAAGGGCATGCGGACCTTCCATCTGTGGATGGTCAGGGATGCCGCAGACGTTCCACGAAGTGTCCCGAGCAGTACACCTAGCCAGACCAATAGACATCCGGCCCATAGTCAGGTCATATGCGTGCGTGCGCATGTGGCTGCGTGATGTTCTGCCTTCAGAAAGCTCGCGCAACTGCTTTGGATGCTACAAGGCTGTATTAACACGAATGACACTTTAGGCCCAAAGCACGTGCAATCGCGCTGAGACCGGGGCCTCACATCCTTCAATCCCCAACTGACAGATCGTTTGGAGCTGCGGCGGGGGGTCCGAGCTCCAAGGAACAAGGACCATATCAAGAAAAGTCACCGTCAGCCAGCTGCGCACAAACATTCAGCAGCTCAGGCTTCTATCTCGATCCTTAGTGGATGTTTGTTGTCTTGTATTGTAGTTTCCTCTAAATCTGCAATATTTCGTCTTTCTAACGGTTGTACAGCCATTGCTTACAGCCCAAGCCGGCGTTGCATTAGAGAGCGGGATGGAAGCCCGCTTAGGAAGAGAAAGCAAGAATCACTTAGGATGAGGTTCAGTTTGGCTTATCGGAGGCTCAACGGGAAGAAGCCGTGGCAGTGGTCAGCCAAACGGCTCTCGGACCCTTGCTGTCGTGGCCTCCCAATCTCCGCCCTAAGTGATCGTTTTTTGCCTCCTGAATTTGAATTTTCAAGCTCATATTGTCCTCATCTTTTTTTGGTGTCACTTGGCCGAAATAGCTGTGAAGGCTTATGAAGCTTGCAATGCATTTGTTGGTGGGTGGTTCTGCCTTCAAGTACATGACACCAGCCCAGACCATATAAAGCCCTAAGCTCTAAAAACCCACCCTAAACCCTCAAAACTTTAAACCCTAAACACCCAAAAGCCTAAAACGCGAAACCCTGACCACCCTAAACCAGAAGACCACCTACAAACCCTAAATCCTGACATCCCTAAACCATAAAAAGCCCTGCCCTAAAAATCCTAAACCCTAAGAACTCTAAACCCTAAATGCCCTAAAGCCTAAAAAACCCAAAGCGTAAACGCCACAAATTTGAAAACCGCTACAAATCCTAGCCTCCTAAATCCTGACATCCCTAAACCCTAAAAACCCTAAAGCCTAACAACCCCAAGCCGTAAAAACCCTGAAGAGCGAAACACCCTAAACCCGAAAACCGCACAGAAACCCTGAACTTCTGAACCCTCCCTGAACCACAAGAACTCAAAACCCTACCCTAAACCCCTAAAGCCTAAGCATCCCTCAGCCCTAAACCCCCAAATCCTGAAAACCCCAAGCCAAGAAACCCCAGACCCTTGAAACACCCTCAGAACCTTAAACCCTAAACCCTAAAACCCCGACCGCAAAATCTTGAAGCCCTACGCCCTAGAACTTGAAGACCGCCAACCCTTGACCTTAAAGACCCTTCCGCGCCTAAACCCTACAGACCCCGTTCGCCTAGAGAGCAAGCCCCAAAAAACCGTAAACACCGTTAACTAAACCCAAAACACTCACAACCCTAAAAACCTTGAACCCTAAAGATCCTAATCCCAAAAACTCCTAAACCCCAAATACCTAAGAACCCTAGACCGTAAAACCCTAAACCCTAAAAACCCCAAACTCGAACAACCCTAAACCGTGGAAACCTGCAGAACCAACCCGCAGAACCCTAAGCCCTAACAACCCTAAAGCCTAAGCTTCAAGCTCAAAACCCAAAAGATTAAACACGCCAAAAAACCCCTAAACCCTTGCAACCCCAAACGCCTGAAAAGCTAAACCCTAAGAACCCTAAATCCTTAAACCCTGAAAACCCTTAAAGCCCCAAAGACTAACACTCTTCACCCTTGAGAAGTCACAAGTGATACGAAGCCTCTAAACCCAAACAGCCCATAAGTCCTAATTACCCCCAAGGCCCCTTAACCCTAAACGACCCCACGCCCTTCTCGCACTCGTCCCAAGAGATCTCTGTTTTCTCGTCCCATAGTGATCTGGCTCTTCTTGCCCTAAAATGATTTCTGACCCACTATAGAGAAGATGCAGTTCAAAGCGGCGTTGCCCCTGGCACAGCGCCCGCTGGCAGCATGACTTGCATCTCACGACCATCAGGTGCCTCAAGCAGCCACTGAGCTCTAAAGCAAAGCACGCTTGCATGCGCTTGCACTATGCGTGCTTGTTGTGCTGCCAGTATGACATGTGGCGACCTAGTGCCACAAGCCCAACAAAGACACAGGCAATTCCGAAGAGCCCACCTGTATAGCCCCTGAAATCGCCTTGCAAGCCAGGCCAATCGGCAAGGCAGAACTTAGGTGTACCTGGCACAGAATATGATGGAATAAGCCACATTTTGGCAGCCGGTTCTCTGAATTCCAGAATGCTACAAACCTCAGACCCGCCTGAACAGAACGCACAGAAATCTTTGGACATAGGAACACCGTAAGCATCTGAGGCTGCTGCCTGTACCGTTATCAAGCTTCCTGGCCCGACACCTGAAAACGCTTGGGCAGTGTCCCTCAAGGCAACGTTCAGCGCAACTTGATGATTCCCCCCACACCTCAAACCGTTTGGGCAGTATCCCTCAGCAACGTTCAAGGCAACTTGATGATGGCTGATACCCTCCAAGAGCATCCAAGAGGCCTGCAGGAACTTTCACCTGCATCCTCGTCGTTTGCATCCTTGCCTCGGAGCATGGCAGAAATTCTGCATCATCCCGTCTCACATCTGGGCTTTGCGGTCTCTCCACATAGCCTTCCTGGACATTCGTCAGAGTTCAGGATAAACTTGTATTCGTAGAGGAACCTTCCATGTGCTACACCCAGCGAGAAGCTAGACCTCAAGACCCTCAAGAATCCCAGGCAACCCCTAGCATGATAAACAAAAAGCAACTATTGCCGGCTGCTGGTGCAGGAGGTGGTGGCACCCAATCTTTCACATCGAGCTCCAAGATGAACTCCTCTTTGGAATGGAAAATCATCTTGCGACCGGCAGGTGAAGTTTAATGTCTGGCTTCGTGGATGACCCCGGCTGAATGCTGGCCGAGTGTCGGGGTACACTTGGTCGGACGTGGGAACGATAAACTCCCGCGGACCTTTGCCTCAAATGCCAGATAGCTCATTGCACAGGAAAACAACCTGCGGCAATCCAGGCCCTGAACGTTGCTAACGCTGCACCTAGAATCTCGACTTTGCATCCTGGCAATCAATTACGTGTGTCCGGATGACGTGTGGTGCCCGACTGCGTCATCTAGCTCATCACGGACTTGCTGTGACTGTGCCCAACAACAGCCAGTAAGGGTTTTAACGAACAAGTGTCCATGCGAGGACCTGTTGTCAATCCCAAACCCCTGTGCACTAACACGCAAGAGGCACGCTCTGGGTTGGCCAGCACCGAGTGCTTTGCTTGTGCATCACCTCAGACACGTCGAGTTGCAGTTGTTGCTATGGGTGCTGTAAGATCTGGAGCCTGGTGCGGAAGCTGTGCTCAAACGTGGGTAAAAGTGTTTGCTTCTCACCCCTGCCCCGACTGCAACAAACACGCACCGGCCACACCAGCAAAAAAACAACATGCCCCACAAGCCACAAAATACAAAACACAACGCCGCCCCAAGCAAGACACAACCCGGCAAGGGGGCTTTTCGCTGGACAGGCCTATTTTTTTATGGAGATGTGAGACGCCACGGGCTCGCAAGTTGATGGCTCCGGAGGCTCCTCTGGCAGGCCAGCAAAAGCCGCCTATTGCAATCCCTGCGCGAGGGCAGTGTTTTTGAAGCTTCAGCCAGAAAATCCTGCCAGTTTGGCCTCATCAACTTAGGCGCAGAAATAGCAAAATCCTACACCTTAAAATTCCTAAACCGTTAAACTCCTCAATCCAACAAGCTCCAAAAACCCCAAACCGAAAAAAACATTAAAAAATCCCTAAGCCCTAAACAACCACAAACTCTCCAAGCCCTCATCACCCGCAACCCCAAAAACCCTAAGCCCCTAAAAACCCGAAGCCTAAAAGAGCTTAAAACCCTAAGCGCCACCCCTTTTTAACCCTAAACCTTTAAAATGCTAAAATGCATATAAAAGCTCTAAAACCGTCTAAACCTTAAAAGGCCTCAACCCTAAAAACCCTTCACACCCTCAACCCAAAAATCCCTTAGCCAAAAAAATGAAGCAGCCAGAGCCCTAAAAATCTCATCATCCCCGAAAACCTTGAAACCACTAACACCCCCAAAGGCGTAACACCCAAGCCATAACACCTCTAAACCTCCAAAAGCCCCAAACCCTGAAAACCCTAAACCGAAAATGCCCTAAACCCTGGTGGGTCCACAAGGTACCCGCCACCAGCAAACATGATGTGCACTTAGGTCACACGCTTTAGTATTGAGGAAAGACGCCTTTCTGCTCCCGCACCTTCGAAAGCACTCTAAATCCCTCATCGGTTTAGGCCCTAAACCCTAAGCCCTAAAACCCAAACACACAAGATCTGCGAGCGTTTTTGTGCAGGTAGCAAGTGCGAATCCCCATGTTTTGTTGCTTGCTAAGCTCCACTGCCACTGCCGATTCGCAAAATGGCAGACCTGATGTCTGCTGTGTTTCTGTAACAATTCTTGTGAAGGAGCATGTTGTTTAGACCCAGGGCTGAAGCAGAAGCGGATGCAAGCGGAGGGGCCTTAGTTTCGCACATGTCGAAAGTGTCAAGCAGTGCAGAAAACAACCTCAAACAATGGGAAAAATAACCACATTTTTACCAAAACATGCGGGAATACGGCAATGGCCGGAACTCAGGAAACACTGGTATTCGCAGAGGATTCTCAACCAAGAAGAGCTGAACTGTGCAAAAGGAGTGGATTTCTTACGGCCCCGCCTAGCCCTTTTTGCTGCTGGACTTGTGCAATCGCCCCTAGCCCTAAACCCTAAAATCCCGAAACCCTGAAACTCTACACCTCGAAACCTTGATTATAGCCTAAACCCGGAAAACTGTAGACCCTAAGAACCCTAAACCCCAAAAGCCCTACCACCTGAAGGCCCTAAAAACCTTTAACCCTATTTGTAACCTGTGGGCGAACCACAGGTCCTGCGCGTCGTCGTCGCCGCGGTCGTCGTCGCGGTGGTCGCGGTGGTGGTGGCGGCGGTTGTAGTAGTACCACCACCACCACCACCACCACCACCACGACGAGGACTACCAGTAGTAGTAGTAGTAGTAGTAGTAGCAGTAGCAGTAGAAGTAGTAGCAGTAGTAGTAGTAGTACTACTACTACTACTACTACGACGACTACGACTACGACTACTACTACGATGCAAGCGTCGGATGTCTGACAGTGTGGATTTTGGATGTTTTGGCATGATGGAATTGTTCGTGAACGTTGCCAAGCGCAGGAAATGCTGTCCCTGCCATGGAAAATGTAATCTGAGAGTTTCAGGAAGTTGCAGGGTATTTGAGCATTTGCCAGGCCACGAAAGCGTATTTTTGACATGCAGCAGTCCTGCTTCAGGAGGGCGTAGCCATGGCAAGCAACAGTAGCACAGCTGCTCCCTCTGCAATTGACTGCAGGCATGCGTGAGAAGGGGGGAAGCAAACAGCAAGCTCGTCTAAACTTTGTCCTGACAACATGGATGTTAGCATCTTGGCTATCTGGATGCAATGAAATGGATGCAGTGGGGACATGGATGTTAGCATCTTGGTTATTCGGATCAAACAAAGGATGCAATTGTAACAGGGATGTTCGCATCTTGGATGCAAAGAAACGGATGCAGTGGTAACTTGTGGCAACATGGGTGTTAGCATCTTGATTATCCGGATGCAAAGAAATGGGTGCAGCAGGTCTAAGGGAGCCGGTGGGGTTCACACAGCGAAAACATAAATGTAAGACCCACAATGAACAGACAGAAATGTAGGGAAATGAGTGAATTCCCACAGCGAAAGCAACAAAAACGCGCCGTGTGCCAAAAAAGGTCTTTTGGCCCTGGCCACGTCTTGGAGCAAATCAGTAAACTTGAAGAATGACAACAGCGAAAACACCGCTTGAGGTCAACCAATGCCGGATTAACTCACCGTCGGATATCCAAGGCGTGGGTACTACTGCTGCTGCTGCTGCTACCACTACTACTACTACCACCACCCCCACAAAGGCCCTCTGCATGTTCGGGGCGCCAACACGCGGAGAGGCTGGAGTGCCAGGGTGGGCAACCTCAAGCCAAAATGCGAGAACGGTATACGCGAGCTCGCGATTTACATGCAAGAGCACAATTTGAGCCAGGCACTCGGTTTTTCAATTTCGGGATGGCAAAAACCAAAAAGGCCCAACACAAAAGCAAAAACATGGGTTCCTCAGATGCTCCTGAGGAAGGCCATGCACGAGGCCTCAGGATGCATAACCGGCATTTCTGTTTCTAAACATCCATCACTGCTTGATTTCATGTGTTTGCTTCTACTTGTAAACCATCTAGGTCTATGCAGGCAAATCTGGACACTGCTGATGCTGGTTCAGGACTCGCGCCATATCCAGTCCAAGCTGCGCAACTGGGCAGCATTGATTTCTGTATGCCTTTCAGTGTAGTAGAAATCGCCACAGAGCGTCCTGCAGAGAAGGACCTGTTTGCAGGCTGCACGAAGATCTTCAAGGCTTACCAGTGCCGCCCTGGGCTTCAACAAACGTTCTGAGCAGCGAAACAGTGAAAACTTGACGCATAGTTGCCAACACAGCTGGAGCAGGCCGTCTTACACGATGCTGCTATGTAACTGCTCGGCCTGCTTGTGTGGCATTGCAGAGCGAGTAATTTTCATGCATATTCTTATGTGTCGTAAGTTTGCCAGAACACAATGCATTGGCATGGCGCGTGTTTTTCTAAGGCGGAAGCTTCAGTTGGACCCCCACTGGGACGAGGGGCGACGCGGGTTCCATCGTTGGTGGGCTCGGCGTAGGTGAGTGACTGGCAAGGGCTCCAACAAAAAGCATGGCATATACATCATAGCTGCATATATTATCTCTTATACCATGGCAAGAACAGCCGCAAACATAAAGTAGCTCCGCAGGATACCACGGGCATGCAGTGCATTTGCACCCTGGATTGTGCAGCAGGAACACCCCTTGCTCTATCCCAGCCTTCTCCAAGTCCTCCGCAAGGTACGCTCCGTTTCCGAAACGGGCTGCATGCTTCATGTCTTTCCTTGGCACAGCCCCATGCTGACTTGTCTCTCGTTCAGGCGATCCTGCATGGTTGTAGCATCGTAGAAATGCGCATGTGCAACATGCTGTATCCACTATGCAACTAATTGCCCTCAGCGACTTGAGGTGGCTTTCATAACATTACCTAAATGCAGGAGCTAAGCTAAACAGTCCCCCATGACATGACTGCCACATATCTGAGCTGGTGAGATGTGTGCTAATCGCCGCGTACGGAAGCGGCAGCTACGGACACAAGGCCAACATCGCGCTTCAGCGTTTCCAGCAAAATGCACAAGGTTGACCTTCATGGTCACACAGTCTCTTATCCAATCAAAGCCTCCCAACTGGTATCTTGAAGTCACTCTCGGCAATCTTTTCGGCAGCTTCTTTTGAAGTACCATGCCTTGGACATCTCATAATGTTATAGAAGACGCAGTCTCATCTGACTAGAATGCTGCAGCTTGCTGCAGCTACCGTGCCACAGCAAATGCTCGTTCAACGGCTCCTCCAAGTTGGTGATGGACACCTAGCACGCGCAGAAAAAAACAGCAGTACTGCCTGAGCAGCTTCCAAACATCATGAGCAACACAACCTATTTGACCTATGGTATACTGACTCAAGTCAAAGGCAAGCTGCACAGGGTGCATGCTGAGAATTTCGCAGTTTCATCGTGAGCTGTTGTTTTCCAGCATGTCATATGGCTTGATCGCTGCTCGCACTCAGGATCTCAGGGTGGCACACACTCTTCGGTGGAATCCCGATTGCTGAGGAAGCTGAAAGTCAGAATTTCACCTCAAACTTCGTATTGAATCATGGCTTTGGGGGCCCTCTCGAAAAGCACATATGCTTTAAGTCTGTCTGATGCGGTTCAGTAGCAGTAGCATCTGCTTAGCCATAGCTGGGCTTTGAACACTTCACTCATATCACTCATCTCAAGGGAATTTCAAGGGTGACTGCTCCAAGCCTGTGGCCATGGCATGGCAGCTCATCACAATGCGCCCCTACTACATGGAAAAATCAAACTTCTGAACTGCCCAGCAGCCATTTGTGTTGTCCAGGTCTCGGGCGGTCTGGAACTTTATGCCAGGCCTGTTGTTTTGCAGAACCTCTGCTTGAAAGCTAGGTTCTTGACTATCTCTGCTGCACCCTGTGAGTGATGCGCGCTGCTTCTGAAATAAATTCGGAGAGAGCCACCACAACATTAGCCTCGATACCAACAACAACTTACTGTAGTTGCAAACCTGTACCGGTCCAGGGCCCAATCCCAGAACAGGTGCCCAGGCCTCTTCTGGATCTCTTTCACAAGCGCCCTTGCTTTGCGCTGTGCTCACCAGTTCATCGGAACGCTAACGTTGAACAGAAAGACAGAGTTGCGAGAGTCATGTCAAGCGCGATGGTACTGCAGGATGTGCAGATGCCACGGAGTAACAGTAACAAATCTGCAGTTCAGAAGCCGCTTGCGCTGAACATACTTCTGCCAAACCTGTGAGTTCCTCAGCTGTGGGCGTGCACCCTCCTGCGTGATAGCGGGTCGCGTCCAATCCATCCTAGCCCCAGCAACCGCTATTCAAGGACGCAGCTCTATTGCAGCTTTCAGCTGAGCTCACAGTACAGGTGACTCCAACTTCTTCCCAAGCAACTCGATACGCTTGGCGCGAGTGACTTCGATCGTGCCAGTGCCCTTGAAGCAAGCGGTTGCTAACCTCACAGCTTTTGCTTTCACATCTTCCGACAAAGATCAGTCACAATGGTGTCTGGACTGGGCCCCTGAGTGGGCCCCTTTGCTAAGAAAAGCCCTTTGTCATGGAGGGACGAGATGACCCAACTTCGCTCCAGGCTGCACTGCAGCTTTCAGAATGGCAAACGCCAAGTGGTCTGCAAGTTACGTATGCTTTAGCCAAGCTGCTCCTGAAGCAGGGTAACCTTACGGAAGCATCACTGGCCTACGGCTGCCTACTCCGGAGTCTCGCATGTAAAAACACAACTCCGCGTAAAGACAGCGTGCAACACCTGCACCTGGCCGCAAGCCAAGGGAGACAAAGCAAGTAAATACGTAAGAAGGTTTGGAAGCTAGCTTCTCACAGCCGCTCAGGAAAAACCAAGCTTCGAATGGCTACGCATTTGATGAAGCTTAACTTGGCCGCAAAGCTTTTGGCTTGCTGCCAAGTGTCTGTGTACCTCGCCACCAGAAATTGTTCCTGAAACATGCAGAAACCTGCTTTGTGCACAAGACTTGGCCCAGCAAATGGTGCTAAGTGGTCTTGCAAGGAACAAGAATGCGAGGATGCCAAACAAAGCAAGCGTCGTGAAACGGCTGGTGGACGGGATCTTTGTGACCTTCGCGACATCACTTTCGACATCAAGAGCTGAGGAGGAGACACAGAGTGCCATTTCACTCGCCCCTGCAACGTACCACCCGGCGCATTTCACTTGCAGGCATGCCCATGAGGACGGACCCTCAAGCAGGGTTCCCCTTGCTGCGTCTCTGCACTGCAGCGCAAGATGATTGTGCCTGGCCCGCTTGCAACCCAGAAGCAATTGGCCCAATACACAGGCAGCTGCAAGTGGTACAGGTCCTTCGTCAGCCTGACATGCCACACACCAGTGCCAACAGGCACCAAAGATCTATCTGACCTTTGCCCTCATCATGCGATTATTCTTGGAAGTTAGCGTGGAATCAGACGCATGCTTTGTGCAAGTGTAGTGTGCTTCTTCTCTTGACGGTTGGAAATTTAAGAACATGAAGTATCTTCCCGACAGTCCCCATACTTAGCGAGCGCCTCTCCACCGTCTCAGGGGCGTCCGAAGCATAAACGCGCGTGTAGAGAACAACGTACTCGGGATATATAGCCTCAGGAACATCCTCATTTATCTGAGTTGCGGAATCGATCTTACTGGCTTCGACGCTAAAGCAACGCAGATACAGAGCCAAGTGCTTTGCATCTTGTCATTGAAATGCGCATGGTTACTTTGCAAATGCCAGCATCTCTGTTGTTTAAGTCTTCTTGTGCTAGGCATCTCCTATCCACTCTATGTTGCATTGGTGTTGATGAAGCGACCATCTATACTGTGTTTCGGTGCTCAGATATGTAGATTTTCAGACATCTGCCTGGAGACTCTTCTTCAGCTATGGTTTTCCGGCCCTCCAACTACTTTCACAAGGCCCCAAATAAATACTGAACACGGTGCAACATTAGGCAAGCATCGTCGGCATCGTACAGCACAAACTCTCTGAAAGTGTCCTCGGCAGTTGCTTTTCGTGGGCTTCAATCTGGCAAATCGGTAGATGTTTTCGAGCTCCCTCTTCTCCCTATGTTGGCACCCGACACCAAAACAACTCCGAAAGGAACAGCAGCAGATGGCAAGGCGCCCTTTGGAAGGCTTTCTTCCGCGAAGAGGCAACTTGCATCAACTGGCTTCTTTGGCCCAGAACGCCTGTCAAAGTCTGGACGAGGGGCCGCCTTGGTCAGCCGATCCCCGACCGTACTGTCGAAGGCTCCGGTTCTCACATGTGAACCAGCTTCTGTATCACGGACCTCAGAGAAACAAGACAATTCTTCATACGACTTGCCAGCGGAGCACTCTCTACTTCAGTCGTTAATCCAGGGTCGTTGCAGACGATTTCTCCTGCTTCCGAGGCCAGAGTGTGCTGCTTCTGAGTTCACTGATGCTGTTGTGCCCCCAAATTGTGTGGACTGAGCGTTTGCCTGTCATTGATACTACAGGGCCTACGCACTCAGAGATTCCCATATCTCCCTTTTTTGAACAGCCGCAAGAACAAAGTGCAGCCCAACACCTTGACTCTTTTTGGTCATTTTGAAATGATGTGCTAAACGGCTATATAGCGAAGATGCTCAACGTTTGCATAGATTAGATTTGCTAGCACGGGGCAGTGGGGAGCAGCAGCATGAGCATTTGAATGACTTGCCGAGTCGATTCAGCTTTGGATTGGGGGCTTGTGGCAACATTATGTCAGAGATTGGATGCAGCGCAACCTCCTGCAATCCAAGCAATGCCGAGCAATACCCCAATCTAGATCTTTATCGTGTCTTGCTAGTGAATACCGCCACTGTACAGGCAGGACAAAAACCCAGTGGGACAAAAAACCCTGCCGCGGCCTGGTGAAAACTACGCAAAGAACTAAATGTACAAGCCCTGTTGCTCTCTCCT